CAAACCTACACACAAAACCCACAACAACAAAAAAACCCATCCCACAACAAAACACCAACCTACCTCTCAAGATCTTCTCAGAAATTTCAATTAATTTTCTTCTCAAAGCTTACTCAACAGGACCATTTAAAATACTTATTAACTCCAACGAAGTTTATTTAATCATACTGCTGTATTAGATAAAAAACTCACCAAGCTAAGAAGTATACTGAAAGTTCTGAAACAAAAACTTAGAATGTTCAAGAAATAGGTTCTAATGCATGAATTAAGGAATACCAACTCAAAGGAAGGAAAGCCTCAAGCTCACTCAAAATTCTCATCCCAGGTCAGCTGTGCATCAACACCTGCATCTTAAAGATACACAGAGAAAAACCCTTYGAAAGACCCAACTACAGGAAGACATAATGCATTCCTGCTGGCCAGAAAGCAATCACGAGTAAGAAAGAGAGAGACAAGCACTCTACACATAGTGGGAACTGCTGAAATACCACAACACTGCAGMATTTTCAACAAATGCTGTCTGGTGAGAAAGCATCCTAGAGCTCCCTGGATCTTACACAGCAGCAGTCAAATAATGAAAGAACCAGAATGTTCTTTTCCCTAAGTTCAGACATCAGTCTCACAAATTAAACTGCCCCACATCCAACTTCTTAGCCAGGAAAAGAGCAGGTGGAATTCCTCCCATGCCCATCCCCTGAATGGCTAATTTATCTCAGCTGTCTTGCCCAACTTGTTAAACCTGAAGGTGGCCATCAGACAGGTTTCCAGCTGACAGCACGCTGCYCACACCTGAGCCTTTTCAACCCCACTAAATTGCACCTTCCCAGGTGGGACTATTTTCTCCAAAACAATGGTACTCTGAACTCCTTCAGAGACTGGTTACAACAGAGAACAAGCCACAGTCTTTCAGAGGACTGCAAATTCTTTTTAACATCCATATTTTGATATACTCTRTTCTACTTGGTATTTCTCTTGGTATTATCAAACTCAGAAAAATACTCAAAACCATTAAAGATAACTTGTCAGTTGCAATATTTAATTCAAAACTTTGTATTTGCCTTTAATAGCTCAGCAGAGTACAGTGTTTGCATTGGATGTGGAGTGCAAATGCCACAGAGCCATTTAGGAATCGCTACCACCGACACGTCAGTGACTAAAAGAGGTCAACAGGTCACTGCATGTGAAGCTTAGTATGAACTACACAGAACTTCTAAAATAGGTAAATAAAATTCTAAAAAAAATATACTCCACATCTCTCATGGGATTTGTTTCTTAGTAYTGAATTGTTTTATGTCACCCCTTGCAGGGGTAACAGCTCTTTACACAGAAGAGTCAGATCTCTCAGATGTTGGACAGTCCCTGGTAACTCCTCACAACCAATTCCTGCTGCGCCCTTCTATGCCATGTCCAACCCTAATAATGGATGGTCAAAGATTTGTCTTACATTSATGTGCACAAACACCTCCTCTGCTAATCTTCATCCCTTAGAGCAATAACTCAAAGTTAAATGAAGCCTTAACCACCTCTGCCCATCAAATTCACATTCCAAAACTATTCTTAGCCAGTTCCAAAACATTGCTAAAGTATCTTATAGTCATCTCTGCATGCCTGTATAAAAAAGTGACCCTTCTCTCCCCTCCCTCCCAAGGAATATTCTACTATTAAGAATAGTTACTTTAAAAGGCAAGAAAAATCCTAGGATTAAAAATTAATTTTGTTTACTCCAGCAACAAGAAGCTGATATAGCCCTCTAATTATTCTATAACATTTTAGATAATTATGGACTTCACAGAAATCAGTCCAGCATCTGCTTCCTGTAAAAGAACACTGTGCTGCTCTAAGCAGTTTTCTTTATTTTGTTTTCTTAAATTTAGTTCACAAAGATAAAGGTGACTTAAAAGATAAAGTTACTTGGAATTTCACCACCAAAAACAACAACAGTGGAACAAAGTTTAAAGAAAGTAACAAAATAATTAAAGCTTGCATTTTAAAGGTCTTGGCATTTAATCCCAAACAAGAAATACACAGCATTTCCTAACAGGAGAAATATGCCTTGACATCCMGGAAGCACAAAATTAGGCTGAAGCTTAGTTCTCCAGAATTTTTAAAGTTTTTGTTGTGTTATTTACGTGACAAAAATGGCAAGTGCTCATATCCCCAATGAAAACAAACTTCTTWTTAAAGATCTATATAAAGCACTAACAGTGTATTACACACTTGACAATCCTAAAGTTTCTAAGCTRAGCAGAAATACTGAATTCCAGTGTTTTTCCTTTCTTTTCCACAATGTAAACACCATGGAAGTTCATGGAGACATTGAAAGTATGACTGTTTTAAAAACAGTAATTCCAAAAAAATCCTGAAGCCCAGGCAGACTGCAGTCTACCTGTTTATTGAACAATGCAAAGACCTTCAGGAAAGAAATACACACAAAAACCTCACATACAGGGACAGACTGAAGTTCCACAGGCAGCTATAATTTTGTTTCTTCCCCAGTTACATCATGGTCCATAATTTAAAGATCACTTTTTGGTTTTCAGTGCTGGTTTGCATGTTATTTCATTTCATTTTAACTATTTTAAGCAGAAGTAAATAGTAAACCAGTGATTTTTGTTGCTTACATTGGTTTAGAAGTAACATCAACAAAAACTGGAATGATGGTGAACCATAGCTACTTTTATATAAGCCAGAACTRAGCTACACCACAGCAGATCAAGGGCCCCTTGGAAGAGCACAAAGTGGTGAATTCTGATGAAAGATCTCACTATGTGTCCCACAGCTTAGTAGTAAACCCAAAAGTATTTATATTTTTGACCACACAAACACACAGAAGCCTTGTTTTCYCCCAATCTACCTTCTGCTCTACTTAGTGCAGTGAGCCCAAACAAAAAAGACAAGTTATGAAAATAGGCTGTGTGGAATCAAATCTGTGTGCACTGGAGCAAGAGTTAAAGGTAGAAGTGCAGCAATTTTGGTGTGTTAACTAATACAACTGCAAAAGCTCATGAAGAAATTAATAAATCAAAGCTAATTTCCAAAGCATATTGCATGTAATGATGGTTCTCYACCACTTCGACCTGATCTTGGATTAAAGTCACCATGTGCTCTAGGATTTAGCTGTTACCGTTTTCCCAGACTAGACAATGARATTAGCTGGTCCTGAGTATACAATTTTGAAGCAGTGGGCCTTTGCTTCAGACAGCCTAGTGGCACCTTTCTTCACATTGCTTATGTCTTCTTAGAAAAGTTTTTTCTCCTGYTGAAGTACATCAGTACTTTGTCCAGGCACTGACCCAAAAAGAGAAAGAGAATACCTGTTTTGGCAGTGATGAGTTGCAGGACCAATGGTCGTCTTGTCACTATTCCAGAGCCTCGTGGAAGAAAATCCCTAGAAACATTTAAAAAATAGTTACTACCCAGAAAGTACAGTGCACTTACATAAGATATTGGACTAATTTGGAACCTCCTCTGTATAAAAATGGAAATTTGATGTGGACAGATTTATATCAAATACTCCTATAAAGTAGGGCTGTTAATTTTGGTTGAAGATAGTAGTAGGTCATTACATACTAGACAAATGTGTATTAAAACGAAATTACTGTCTCAGGGCATTGCCAACCCTCTTCAAGAGCATAACATGTAACATGTCACCGTGCATAGTAGAGTACCCAAAGCGATGCCCAAATTTTCCAGACCCTCTAAAACACTTCTGTCATCATTGCACAATTGATTTGAAGAGGAACTAAACACAGGAATATACACACATCACAGCAAAGCTCTGAACAAACCAAACCATTAGCATTCTGCACCTACTCTTTCACACACTCACCCAGCTCAAATCCCCAGATAACTCTTCCAGCAACACATCTRCCCAGAAGTTTTGAATGGAAGCTAAACACCAGAAGTACTGCAGGACAGAGGGAGAAAGCGTCCTTGGACCAAGGAAGCAAGCAAAGAAACAAAGATACCWACTTTATCATATCATTATGCATGCCCATGATGTTTTCCATGCCTTCAAAGACAGAGGGACTCCCTATGCAACTGAAAAGATGTTTTTCTCAGGGTCTTCCCCAGTTACCATACTTATTAAACATATAAACACTATGAGGTTCAGTGAGAGGTTTGAAGAGTGTTTGCTTCAAATAAGTGTCTCCAGAGGAATAAAATTCAGGGGTAAACAGAGTTGCTCATCAATCAGCTCATCAAAATCCCCTTGTTTTTCCTGCCTTACAAAGGATGTTGAATCTTCTTGCCTGCCTTAGCAGCACTGCTAACTCACCTCTCTGGCTCAGGTGAAAAGCAGCATAGCAAACGGCTAAGGCAGGAATTTTCAGTCAAATGGCAGAGGTCATCTGGTTAACTGCTGTCATACAGGTGAGTGTCTGCACAAAGGATGAGGCAGCAATGTGCAGCTTGAGAGGGATGGGGAAAAGGATAAGAGTCAAAGGAACAAAGTAGAGCCCTTGTCAGCCCTTTAGACAGAACTATTTAGGTCTGCCCAAGCTACTTGAGAAATCACCTGTTGCCTATAACCACTGAGTGTCTTCACAGTGACCTTGCACTGCTCAATAGATGCCTGACTTTAGCAGTTCCTTTAAAGGCAGCACACAAACCTGAATGGTTTAAAACAAGCCTTGAGGATGCATCTACGAAAAATAAACACACATATATTCAAGCTATTATTTGTCAGATGATGTTAGGTCTGAGCCAAGACTGGATCAGGAGTGCAACAGTGAACCACTTTCCACAAGCACCAACAGGTAACAAAGCTTTAGCAGAAAAGAAATACAGCAACTCCACCTGTGATATGAGCACTGAAGACATCCTTCCCAAACACCTACACATAAAAAAAAATTAAAAATAATAACATATGCAAGCAGTTCTAAGGCTCTGAAGAACACRGAGCGGCCGTCAGCTGTGCCTCGTGCCACCTTAGAATTCCCCAGCATTTTGAATGAAACTATGTTAATTTCTAGCTAAAATGTGTTTCACTTTCTCAGTACTTGTTAATGTTGTGCTTGCACTGTGATTACTCTGCAAACCAAAGCATACCATGAAACTGGAGGCTGTTCAAACACAAGCTAGCTCATTAACTTCCCTACTCAAACACAGACCTGCAGGCAGAAGTACAATTAATTAGGAATTCAAGTAATCTCCAAAGCAAAGATACTGCAAAAACATCAGGTGTACTGATTTAAATCTGTTGTGATGCTTTATAACACTTGAGACAGCAACAGGATACAAAAATTAGCCTAAAGAGATTGCAAAGGCCTTCAAATAGGTCTGTTGTAATTTCAGTATCTACTAATGGAGACACAGCTGCCCCTAAATGAACATCTACTGATATTTTCTCATGGGGGAAAGGAGAAAATAGTAATGGGAACATGGTCATACTTCTGTATGCACTTAAATGACAGCAGCCCAGGAGGTAGCAAATGCATATTGAGATCACAGTTTCAAACACTGGTTTTCAATAATTTAACATATAGAATTTTTTTTTCCCATCAAGAAGCTAAAATGAATTGCCACTCAGGACAAACTGATCACCCAAACCAGTGTCCTCTACAGCACCACATGAGACAGGAAAATCCTTCAGGGAGTCAAAGGCTGAAAAGACTTATTGATTTTTCTGCTTCAAACTAAGCACATTCAGCGATAAAGAACACTGCATTRATGCAGCTCCCAGTGTATACAACACTGACCTTTCCTCAACAACAATATCAGAAAGAAAGGTAAGACACCAATTTTTCTTCAGAACGTCCTCTTAACATCTCCAAACGTGGTGGCATTCGTTAACCCTGTCTAATGAGCTGAACTMTTGTCTGTGCAAGCAAACATCGGCAGAGAAGACAGCCGTGTTTTTCATCACATAACCAGTTTAACAGCGCAACAGCAGGACATGAAACTTCTGCTACAAATGCAGTTTGAAGAGGGAAAAAGTCRAAGAATGAGGGTAATGGGGTTCACAAGGAGAAAACTTCCCCCCCACCACTTAACCACTGAATGGGTGTTTTACATGTATGAAAAGAGACACTGACGTCAATCTGCCCACAGGGATAGGGATTTTTTTTTTTTACATTTGAAATTCCAGCTTCAGCCACAAGGTAATGGCACCTGTGCACATTCTCTGTCCAGCTCAATTCAGATGTTACAAATAAATACATAAACTCGACTTCCAGAAAAAAAAGCCATTTCTTAAACACACGGAGAAATGTAAATCAAATCTGAAACACAGCTTGCACTTCTTTAGGAAAAGCAACATAGTACCACACTATAAATAGACAGCAAGGGAATCAGATTAAATGCTGCACAACAGTTTCTGCAGAAATGCCTACTCTGACATCCAAGATGCAGGTCTTCCTCTCCTGTTGGAACAGAAAGCATTCTCTAAAGGGTTTGTCAGTAGTGCTGAACAAAACCCCTCTATATTAGAAATGGCCYCACAACTTACACAAGYAAAGCAGCAAGAAATAYAACAGGACTGAACAGAGMCAAGTCTCAMATGTTCTATCAGACCAAAATSTMCTGATGGCACACCTAACATTCTTCTAAGGACAGSCTTGAGMRAGCTGCTTTTCCCCACTTTTTGGTCAGTGTGTATAGCTTTGTTTAGTGAGAGCTGGGAGAAAAAAAAATCACTTCAGTCAAAGCAGCTGTGGAAGAAATCCATCTAGRAAAATGTACATGCCTGAGAATTTGTGCTCAAAGGCACCAACAAGGGAGAGGAAAGGCTGTTTTGTGTGGTAGGGGTAGTGGGCCTGGGTGCACCTGTATGCACAACTGCAGGATCACTTAACAATGATGAGGTGCGGGAAAGAAGAAACACATTGTTAAAGAATAAAGCTGGGAATGACARCCCTGCTCCTTTAGGAGACATTCATTCTACATTAAGATTCCAACTACTTTTATATCTTCACTCTCAGAGTGTTTTCAGCAAAAAGCTCTGTGCTGACACCAGCTGTACCAGCTCAGCAGCAATGCTACAGTGACAGGACAGTCCATCAGCAAGGCCTGGCCAGGGCTGAATATATCAAATGCAAATAAGAGGCAAACAGCCAGGTGTGCCAGGACATCACTTCAGAAACTCCTCAACCTTAGAATGCACTCAGCTGTTAGAACACCATTAAATACTTTCAAGAGCAAAATATTTTCAGTGCCAAAAAATTATTACCATATAAAATGACTCATGTCTTACTGCACAACTTAAACTCTGTTGTCTTCACTCTCTAGTACTGCTCATTTCCAGTATCAGAGATGTGGACTAGTGTATCTATGAAATTTAATGTCTACTGTTTGTTCAATGCATAAAAGAACAGATAATAGTTTGAATCTSACTTGTTAAAACCCAGGTCTCAAACTGATGCCACAGGATGGTGAAACAAATTATCAACGGCCATACCAACATTTCAGTAGTCTACATTAATAAGCCAGCTCAGGCTTTAAGGTGAARAAGTAATTAGACAACTCATTAAATGAAGAGTCTCATGGAAGAGATGGGAACATCCTTTCAAACTTCAGGAAGGGCAGAAACTGTTGTGAAATGCTGAAAAGCAAACCAGACAGGGGCTCCTTYAGTGAGGTGGTCTCATTATAATGTAGGACTGCAGCTTACAAAAAAAGAGAACACATTAAACAAATAAAACATACATATAACGTATTCCAGGGGATTTCCAGGTAGAGTAAGTGGTTTCATTAGGAGATCTCTAGCTAAAAGTATTTATTATGTTTAAAAAAAAAAGGCAAAACAAAACAGAAGAATCCCCAGTTTGTGTGAAAAGTGATGATGYACCACCACTTAGAACTTCATTGTGGTTGCAAAACAGCAGCTTAAATTTTCTTTACTTGGCTAGCATAGGACTCAGAAATGTTCTATGCTTTGATCAGTTACATGGTCAGTATCACACAGGATAAATAGCAACCAATTTACATCCATATCAACATAATTAATTCATACAAAATGTAGAGGGAATTCAGGAAATCAAATAACCAAGGAAAATGCCAATGATTACACAGTAACTGCATTAATTAAAGAGCTACAAACAATTCAAATTGACAGTGATGAAGTGGTCAAAAAATCAGAATTGCCTCCAAAGAAAGGGCATGCMCATTTTTCACTAAGGGCAGAAACATGCCAGGCTCCAGACAAGAGCTAGAGTTCTCCTACAGAAGATCAGAAATGACCCATTGATTTCATTTTGCCAAACAACATTAGCAACGTTATGAAAGTTCTCCCACTAAAACCAAGAGCATCCCAAGACCTTCAATTTCTCTCAAATGCAGAAAGGCCACGATACATCAGCAGTTAATATAAACAACAGTGCACTGGTAGCACTCCCCACAGGCTTTTATTCCCAAGTTTTGCCAAGGAATGCAACACAGTTTTAATTA